TCAACGCTGCGGTGCACGTACACGTGATTGTCTTCTTGTCAGCTAATCAAGATTAAGCGCAGCATTTGAACTGTGCAGAGGGGAGAAAACAGAGAGGGATGAGAAAAGGGGAATAGAGTGAGTATGATTGAGGCAAATGGATGAGTGCAGCGATAAGAGGAGCTGCCTGGGCCCTGACAGATACACACAGCAGATGGATGACTCTTATCTGGGAGATCACAGAGTGCATACTCACGCCTGGGCCCAGTTACAGAGAGCCACGATCACACCAGACAGATGAATAGGCCTGCCCCCCACCAATCACATTACACATACAGTACACACAAGTGCACGCGCACACCTACACACACAACCAGTTGACAGAATGAACAGATTGCAGCGCTTGCGTTACCTTCATGTCTTTGACATTGAAATTCACCTGGAGTCCGGTGTCTCCTGGATGTGTGCAAAGAGGGGAGAAAGGAAGGGTGTTCAGGGAGATAAGAGAAATCGTTTTTATTTTAATTGAAATTGAAGCAGCAGAGCAAGCATGTGTGTGCATGTGTGTGTGTGTACATCCCGTGGCTGCATGCACACTGTATACATGTATGTTGGCGTACAAATTTGTCAGCCAAAGAGCGAGCCACATGCACTCTATTCTCACTTTTTTTCCAGCGTGACAGATTTTTTCACTGATTATCTGGGCACAAACAATGTCTGTCGGGGAGGTTAAGATGGAGCTGAAGTCACACATAGTCAAAACAAAAAAACATTTTGGACTGTCTTTGCACTGTGACACTTAACTGTTAACTGGCTATTACCAAAGGCTCCTGCATGAGTGCTGACAGATTTATCTTTTAAGACACAGTGCTTTCACTCATCTGCCTCACATCCCCACTATCCTCCTTTTCATGTACAGTAACCCTCCCTCCTACCCTCCCTCACACACACCCCTTGTTATTTGGAAAGAGCTCTTCTTCAACAGCTGTTGATTCTCCCAGCTGCATTTTATAGCGAGTGAGAGTGCCAGTCTTGTCTTCAAGGCAGATGGTGGCTGGCTGGCTGGCCCGGTGGACACGTGGCACGTTGGACGACTGCAGACGGTGCTCCATCTCAGGGAAGCTGCAGCTACAGTTCGCCTATACAGTGTTCCCTGCACAAAAACCTGCAATCACCTCACTTTCAATACAGTGCGAGCAGGCTGCGACTGGAATGTGCGCCACGTATGCACCCTTCATGTCAAAGATGTTTTCCGAAGTTGCTCTCCTTTGATAATCATCGGTGTGTGAAGTTCATGCGTGTCACACAGCACCTGTTCCCTTTATCTTGCCTTTCCATGTTTACATTTTTTTGTGACCTGTAAGATAATAATTAGAAGACTAGTAAAACCATGTGAGAAGTGTGTTGTGGTTGAAAATGGAGCAAATAATCCTGCTGAATATTGCACCTTTATTTTCTCTACCCTATAATTTCCTGTCAGGGTCATGGTTGTCTATCCCAGCAAGCACTGGCGACGCCCTGGACGTGCCTCTCTGCGGCGGGCATGTTGAAACACTCCACGATTCATCAATATACTTGTAGGAAAGACCATCAGTAGGTCAAATAATGGGTTGTTTTTCCTCGAGGGGACAATACTCTGCCCCTAGCATTTTCATGATTGATGTGTCTGAGGGCCAAGGATTTATCCGGAGCCTTTGGTTAGCCTACAGGGACAAATGTCTACCTTCTATCCATTAGACGAGAAGATCCTTCTGACGGAGCTTTTTGTGGACCAGAAAAAAACAGTGTTTGTTTTCTAATCCACGCTGTCTGTCTCCATGATACAAAATCCATCATGCTGGCAGCATGTTTGGCTATTATTTCCTGCTCCTTGTCCTCACATACACAAAGCAAAAACACCCTCACTGTTAAGGGAGAAGCTGTTGCTATCTCTGTAGCAAGCTGAGGCAGTAGTGGGCGCATGCCGGTCAGATAAGACCGCAGGAAGGTTCAGTAAGAGATAACGATGACGTTAAGAGGTGCTTATGAAGCGGTGGGAGCTGGTCAGTCTACCGGATGGTGCCAAAGTTGGGAGCACACGGAAACCTGAACTCAGCACATGCTCGTGACTCATTTCCTCAGCTGGAAACAGAGGGATGCCTCCTGTGAAGCAGGATACAAAAACTCCCTCCTGGACACATCTTGACACACACCACTGCGTGTAGAACACAACTGGCTGACACCCAAGTTGGGATAAGGTCATTGTTTACTCTGTCTGGATGACGATGATTCAAATCCCAAAATGTACATCAACGGAGGTGTGGAGTTGAGTCACATGACTTGGACTTGAGTCACACTCATAAATTTGATGATTTAAAATTTGACTTGACAAAATCAAATAATTCTTCCAACTCAGCATGGACTTTAACACCAATGACTCATGACTTCGCTTGGACTTGAGCCTTTTGACTTGAAAATACTTGATACCTTCCCCCAAGTCCAAAGAGTAAAAACATAATATTTAAAAAGTGTGACACGAATCGGTTCATTTCACTTCCTGAATCACCTAATTTTGACGCTATTCATTCCCACTAAGTCAACACTTAATTTCCCAGATGCACTTTGAACCAATCCAACAGCATCCAATCAAGCTGCAGGGGAGAACCATTGGGAGCTAGTGTTACGTTACTGTACGCTTGTTGGAAAAAAATGATACCAACTATAGTTTCCTTTGCATACTACAACTACGCAATGGTCAACACAAAGCAAATTGCAGTATGGTAAACGTGCAGGTTGAAAATTACAGACAAAGACACAACAACTTCCATCTTTGTTTGATATTTGAAGCTGTACAAAGAACAGTATGTTGAGGCCAACGGGAACATAGCAAGCTAATGCTTAGCTAACGTTATTACTCTGTGGTTAAAATGGCATTACATTTGCCGAAGAGTGCATTATGACTTGTGTGGGACTTGAAAGTCAAAGTTTAGGATTCTGTGCTTGATAGTATTGACTATAGACTGTAAAAATAAGGGACATAACAACCGTAACGTCACCTATTGGTTTGTGGACTCACATTTTGAGTTCAACATTTCGAGAGAGAGCAAGCTAATACTTAACTAACGTTATTGCTCTGTTGTTAAAATGGCATTACATTTAGAGAAGAGTGCATTATGACTTGTTTGGGAATTGAAAGTCAGAGTTTAAGATTTGGGACTTGACTTGGAACGTGTCAGTATTGACCATAGACTGAAAATAATGGACGTAGCTACCATAGCGTCACCCATTGGTTTGTGGACTCACGTTTTGAAACTTCGAGTTTGGCATTTTGGCTGTTGCTTTCTTGGTTTTTGTGGAGCCAGAAGTGGCCATATTTGAGTGGAGGCTGGCACTCTGGAGGAGCGAGATGAACCTGACAGTCAAAGCGACCCGTCCGCAGTTATGCCTAACTTTAAGCCTTAATAAAATTGAAACAGGTGGGTAATATAAAAATTCACCCTCCGTACAGTCATCATGAAGTGGGAAATTATTTATAGAGACCAAAACTGTTTTTTGCACCAGGCTGTAAACATGTTTATTTCTGCTGTTAAGTTGGGCATTTTAATACGGAGGTCTGTAGGGATTGACTGGCCTCTGGAGCCAGCCTCAAGTGGCCATTAGAGGAACTGCAGTTTTTGGCACTTCCATATTGGCTTTATTTCTCAGTCTTGGAGGTTGCCACTTGGTCTTGACTTGGTATTTGACTCTGGACTTGCCTGTCTTTACTTGGGACTTGACTTGGGACTTGTCAGTATTGCCCATAGACCCAAACCATTGGTTTGGGACCCATGTTTTGAAGGCTTGAGTTCGGCATTTTGGCCATTGCTGTTTTGATTCTTGTGGAACCAGAAGTGACCATATTTGGGCAAGAGGCTGGCACTGTGGAGGAGCAAGGGGTGCATCTGACTGAGAAGCCAAGGACACCATTGGCAGACAGCCTGGCACTCAAAGCGCCTGCCCTTAATTATACCTAACTTTAAGCCTTAATAAAATTGAAACGGGTGAGTTGTATAAAAATGAACTCTCTGTACAGTCATCATGAAGGGGGGGAGTTAGCCATTTAGATCAAAACTATTTTTTTGTACCAGGCTGTAAACATGTTTATTTCTGCTGTTAAGTTGGTCATTTGAACATGGAGGTCTGTAGGGACTGACTCACTTCTGGAGCCAGCCTTAAGAACCAAGAACTGCAGTTTTTGGTACTTCAGTGTTGGCTTTATTTTTCAGCTCAAGAGGGTACCGCTTGGTCTTGACTTGGGACTCCTCAATCTTGACTCTGGACTTGAGCACGAAGCCTTGTGACTAACTTGTGACTTGCAAAACAATGACGTGGTCCCATCTCTGTGCATTAAATATGAATTTAAAAAACTTAGAATTAAAGCTTTCTGACATATGCCAGGAACTGCCCACCTCTGTGACCTTTTACACACTGACACACCACATTGCCTCATGTGTTTATTCTATTTTACTGCCTTACAGGGCCGTAGCTCAGAATACATTCACCCTCCGCTTTTGTGTCTTCAGTGCGCCATACTGCGTCAGAGCTCACCACAAAGCCAGTAACGATGAGAGGCGCTCTGAAAGCTGTTTTAATTTCAAAGCCCACGGCTCTGTTAACAGGATGGATGTCCTTTGCGTCCACTCCCACCCCCCTTCTGGTTGCTTTGTCACTGTTGTCATGAGCTCCAGAGCCAGCCGGAGAGGAATCCCAGGAATCTTTTTTCGGCTGACCTGGCTCTCATGTAGAGCTGAAGAGTAATGGTGACATTGTCCGAGCAGCAGAGCCGGCTCCTCTTTAATAGTGGATTTCAGCCCCTGAATCATGTATAAGAATAGTCTGCGGGGCCCTCCTGGTGCATGAGAAAAACATTTATATAAAACAGTGGCTGCGTGCCCATCACCATGTAACTGAATTATTCAGCTTAAATAAACTTTGCCAAGAGAGAAGTACTGAGCTGACATAGATGGATAGCAGTTTACAGTAGAGTGTGCTAAGCTCACCAGCAGTGACAGGGTTAATCATACCCATATGGTGTACCAAGAGGTTTGGTCCAATGCTGCTGTGGGCCAACAGGAGAGGGAAGGCTGGGTGGGGGCAGAACAGAAGGGAGAGGACAGCAGGGCAGACACTCTCCCAACACCTGCACCTGGTCACTTGATTCACACTCCAACAACTCCCCTTTAAAGGATCAATGGAGCGACCTCTCCTTCACATCACCGTGATGGTTGCAGCCATCCAGGCTTAAACTTTTTTTGGAAAGAGAGGACCAAGGGATCAGCTGTGGGTTTTTCTTTTTTTTTTTCCTCATGTTGCATGGAAGAAATACCGTCAGTTAACAGCGACTGATCAGGCAGCCTTTTTCTCTCTCTGTCTCTCTCAAAGGGGGAATTTGCAAACCTATCGGATTGTTTTATGCCTGCGCAGCGCTGCTGACAGAAGATTTTCCAATCCGGCTCCGAGTGCTCCAAACAGGGGGAATGCAGCGGTAACATCCCGCAAGTTTTTGGATCTCAGAGGCGTCACCGACAAAAGCCAGAAAGCAAAAAATAAAGGTAGGACATTTAACTTCACCCTGGTTTAACTTTTAACTCATGTCTGGTTACTCTGTAGCGGAGGGTAGATGGGCTGTGAAGTACTCACATTTGTTCGGTTCCTATTTCTGGATGTTGAGTTCACAGGTAAGTACGCACTCCACCGCGGGAAAGGGAAACTAGGTTATTGAAATCCTGTAATTATTTTTATTTAAAGAGAAACTATATGTTATTACAGCTGAACTTTAATCTGCACTGTCGTTCCCACCCAGCGCAGAAAGCCAGCAGTCAATCATACACATACCTCCAAGTACAATCAGGCCATCAGACAGACAGTACAGAGCCACACAGGCATATTATTATGTTTCAGCCCCTGACTGATGATTTTATTTTTATTTTAAGATATTTTAATAAGAAAACTCACCCTTGAATTCTTTTTATAGCCTCACCAGATGAAATAGTATGAGTAGGACATGCATTTTCATAATCACAAAGCCATTTTGCCTTGTTGCCTAACCATTTTCCTGCAAAATACTAATCAAATATGGCTTAAAATGCTCTTTTTATTATGGTTAATATTAAATATTCTTGGAAACAACTAGTGTTTATTATTTATGTATTTGTTTTTTATAAAGTCTGTGATTCTGAGCATCTTTCTTCAGGGAACAAACACCTCAATGACATAAAATGTGTCCACATGATTTTGATCACCCATCTGATGGTGCATATGTATTATTAACACCGAACATACAGTGTTTGATAGGAGAGATACAGATCAAGCTTCCCCTGGTGAGCACATATATGGCAACTGTGTGATTATGCCAGGAAGCCTGCGAGGCGTTCACCAGTGGCTTCTGTTTTTAATTTCCAAATGTTCAGCATGCCAGTCATTTCAGTTTCATCACACTGTTCCTGATTTTGATTGTGGGCGGAAATAATTGAATCTAATGTGTCACATATTAATCAATGCCTCGTTGTGAAACATGATGTATTGGTGTGTTTTGTGAAACCTCTCTCTCTCTAGTCCTCCACCGTGACTGTCTCTCTCTCTCCCCATAAAAGCCCTCGTTTTCCAGGCTTGTAGCGTGTGCCACAGGGGGCCCTCAGCTACATGGATGCCATGAGGAAAAAGAAAAGCCCGTGGGATGGCTTATAGCTCGAGCAAAGCACACCTTCAGGGAGACAATTTAATGGATGTTGTGGACTCAGCTTTTAGTATTCATAATTTATATGGGATCCTCTCCAGCAAAGTGCAGATGCATAATGAATGCTTGAGTTAAGGTCTAACAGTTAGACTACGTCTCAACACCCCTAAACTGTCAGAAATTGTTTCAGCGAGGACTACCTGTTTCTTTGAACTGTCATGCGTTTCGCTCGTCAGCTCCTGGAAGGACGTGGACGTGCTTTGTTGAAAGACCGAGACGGAGGCAGAGGGAATCACTGATGGGCATCAGACTCTTGTTTTATTCAGTTTTCTGGCAAAATGTAGATGAAATATATGTTAAAGAACATGTAATATGTTTAAGAGTATGTACAAGATGAAGACAAAATCGCCCTTTTCAGATTTTCTTCCATGTGGCTGTGCTCGCAAACGCCATTATACAGTCTCAACACATACCTCACTACATTTACACTTTAAATAAATAATAGGGCTGTCATATTTTCCAGAGCAGGTGTGAAGATTTGGACGTTGTTCCCTCCTGCCAAACTATACGTCTCGCCTTGGAAGGCTTCAGGCCAAACTTCTGATCAGAGAGATCAGAGAAAGAGAGAAAGAGAGTGTCTTGTCTGTCCTTCCTTCTTTTTCTGTCTCCTATTTCTCATGGGGCACTCTATAATAATAGTTCATTCCTCTTTCTTTTTTCGTCCAGATTTAGATCTCTGCGGGCTACCTGCATGACTGTTACCATGACAGCATCTGGAGCCCAACTCCTCCTGTTGGCCTTATGTGTTTACAGAGGCTCGGGCCTGCAGCAGTCTGCTCCGCGGGTTCGCCTCTCCTTCAAAGGTGAGCTCGTACAGATTAACTCCAAACTCCTCTGACAGCAGGGATTGTCTTAATAGTTTCTTTAACTCATGGGTGGATTATGAGACAAAGGGCTCCTGGGCACAGATATGCAGAAGGCCCAAACATCTCCTACACAGGAGCAAAACACACTTTGTGGTGGTTTTGCACCACTGTGTAGTTGTTAGGCTTCTTTTTGTGGTTTTGTGTCTCTTTGTTGTCATTATGTTTGTCTTTGGGTAAATGTTATATCTTCTTTTTGGTCATTTTGTGTTGCTTTGTAGTCATTTGTGTGTCCCTGTGGATGTTTTGTGCCTCTTGGTGGTCATTCTGTGTCTTTTTGTAGTTGTTATGTCTTTTTTTTGGTGTTTTTGCATCTCTCTGTAGTTGTTGTGCATCTTCCTGTGGTTGTTTTGTGCCTTTTTGCGGTTGTTGCGTGTTGTTTGTATCTCTGAAGTCATTTTGTGTCTTTTTTGGTTGTTTTTTGTCACTTTTAAGTGATTTGACTGTCGTTGTGGTTGTTTTCCCGATTTTTGCAGGTCCTGTGCATCTCTGTGTAGTCATTAGGCATCTTTTTGTGGTTGTTTTGTGTCTCTTTGAGGTCACTGTGTTTGTCTTTGGGGTAATATTGTGTTTTTTGGTCATTGCGTGTCTCTTTGTAGTTGCATCTCTTGGTAGTTATGTAACCTTCTGTGGTTTTGGTTTTCTTTGTGGCAATTGTGTGTCTTCTTTAGGTTGTTTAGTACCTTTTTGTAGTTGTTTTGTGTCTCTTTGTGGCTTTTTGTGGTCTTTGAGGTAGTTTTGTTTGTCTTTGAGGTAATGTTGTGTCTTTTTTTGGTAATTTTGTGTTTCTTTGTAGTCATTTGTGTCTCCTTTAGGTTGTTTTGTGCCTTTTTGTGGTAATTTTGTTTGTCTTGAGGTTATTTATTTATTTATTTTTTTGGTCGGTTAATGCCGCTTTGGGGTCATTTTGTGTCTTTGTTGTTGTTTTTTTTGCTTTTTGTAGTCTTTGGAGTGATTTTGTTTGTCTTTTTGGTTATTTTGTGTGTTGCTTTGTATTCATTTGTTTTTCTTTTGTGGTTCTTTGTGCCTTTTTCTGGTTGTCTTGTGCCTCTTTGGGGTAATTTCGTTTGTCTTGATGTAATTCTGTGTATTTTTTTGGTCGTTTTATGTTACTTTGTGGTAATTTTGTGTCGCTTTGTATTCATTTGTTTTTCTTTGTGGTTGTTTTGTGTCTCTTTGAGGTCATTATGTTTGTCTTTGAGGTAATTTTGTGTCTTTTGGTCATTCCGTGTCTCTTTGTAGTTGTTTTATGTCTCATTTTTAGTGGTTTTCCATCGCTATGTAGTTGTTATGCATTGTTTTGTGGTTTTCATTTTGATTGTCTTCAGGTAATTTTGTGACATTTTTGGCTGTTTCATGTTGCTTTGTGATCATTTTGTGTCTCTTTGTTGTCGTTTTGTGGCTTTTTATATTCTTTGGGGTAATTTTGTTTGTCTTGAGGTCATTGTAATTGTCTTTGGGGTAATTTTGTGTGGTTTTCAATCATTTTCTGTCGCTGTGTGGTTGTTCCCTGCCTTTTTGTACTTGTTTTGTGTCTTTTTTGGTAGTTTTGTGTTGTTTTTAAGTTATTTTGTGTCCCTTTGTGGTTGTTCTGCCCACTTTTGTAGGCCCTAGGCCTCTGTGTGGTCTTTTGTGTCTTTTTGTGGTCATTTTGAGTTTCTCCTTGGTCAGTATATGTTAATTTGAATGACATTTTGCAGGTCAAGGCCAGTAGGTCCGTTCAGTAATCTATCCATGCTTTTACTTGTTCGGTTCTTCCCAGTAAGTCACTCACACGCACACAAACTCACGCACACACCAGCGGTTATGTTTCCTCTTTGTACATATGTAAAGAAGGTTATTTCCTGTCACACGTCAAACACTGCAACACTGAAAACAAAAGGTGGATATTACGTGTGGTTGGTTACTGGTAGTGCCCTTCGACAAAAGTTTCTCCCCACACCCTGAAACCTTCACGCAGTATAGTCTGACCTGTCATTCTTTCTTTGTTTTTAATGTCTTTTAATGTCTGACATGATGACACAAGAAGGAAACACCTGAAATTTGATCACAAAATGATATTTTAGAGCTTGGACGTTTTGGCCGCCAGGTGTGAGTTCAAAATGGGGGTGGATAGGGATATTAAAGCCTTTTTTTTTTTTTGAAGGGATTTTCCCATGCTGTCTCCTTGTCTTCATTAAATCTGATGGCAGAGGTTCACGTTACAAACACGTGGATGACACCTTTGATCAAAACAATGCAGGATGATTACAGTTATCTCTGCGTCCCTATCATGTTGTCACTTCAATTGCACCTGTGCGCTCACAAACACACACACGGCACACCTGAAGTACCTGTAAGTAAGACTTAGAGGTGTGAATCGGCTTTATAGCATTCTTTAGTGCTTTCATGTGGAGATGAGTCAAAAATGTTCTGCTCTCAGGTCAGGTCTAGGCAGCATGTTAGGTGTCTTATCTTGTTCAGCCGCGGTGATTCACTGAGAAACATTTATGATTTTGTACGATGTCAACAAGAGACATCTGAGGCAGATTAGAGGTGAGCTAATCATGAGATCTGGGTTTGATAACTGAGAGTTGGAGTCTACACGCAGTGCTGTTTTGAATTCATCTGATTTTGTGTGACTGAAAGCAGCTGTCTACGTGCTGTTTGTGGCTGTCGTGTTCCATTTGAGGCACGAGAGAGTGATTGCAGTGCATTTTTATATGACCTTTAACACTAATCCGCTTGCTGTAAACAGCTTATACACACCGTTGTGGGTTTTTTTTGCAGCAGGGCACACAAAGTAGTAGTCTGACCAATTTCACAAGTTTGGTCTTGAACTTGATCACGTCCCTCCAGGAATTCACATCTGTACAGAGCTCTCCACGACAAAATCATGCACTTATCCAGAGCAGCTGAGAGGTGCTGAATTGTTAGATTGTCAAGGTTTTGCCGATAAAGCAGCCGCTTTCAGACCTCCGCCACCCCTCCCCCTAATGGCAAACAAAAAGGAGAAAAGTTGGATTTACTCCCCAACTGTTTTCTGCCACTCCAAGGATTTATTGTTCATTGTTCGTGACACCGAGTCTCTTTGTTCCCCCGAGGCGCCTGTGGAGGAGGTTTCGGGGCGGCTGGAGGACATGTGACTCTTGTGAACGAATGAGCCGGCCTGAGTGGCACTCTGGGGTCCAGGAGGGCCTGCAGAGGATAGAGAGATTGTACTGCTTCCTCTGTCGCTGGGAAGTTGTGTCAGTTACTTCAAAGGCACTGACTGCGTCTCATTTGATAGAATTAGTCAGCATTGCTAGAGAGCAAAATGTGCAGTGTAATTGAAGCCGTGTTTTAGAATCTCATGCCCTCACGGTGCTGTCACCAGTTTGTTCATACTTGAAATTTGCCCGCGACTAAACGACAGTGGTCATTAGTGACAATATGTTGTCAAGTTGTAATGTGAGAGCTCATAGTAGCTCCATACTTGAATCGTGTGTCCTTCCCAGTGTTTCCCCACCAGTGTCAGAATGCTGTCAGGGGATAAGTGTTTGCTGAATGTTTACCAGATGATGGCAGTACATTGTTTGCTATTTTTGGAGAATGGAGACATGTATAGGGGTGTGGTGTTTCTACATTTAGCCTGTTCAGTGAATCCACTATGGCCCAGTGGAGCTCGGCCAGAGGCTTGTTATCCTGTGTTTACCTCTCAGGAACAGAACCGGACCTCATCCCCACCTCAAAGACTCCATCTCGTGTCGTCCGGACGGAGATCAGATTGCGTGGCTTATTTTAGTTAGGCACCTTGACTGCATCCTGTTAACAGTGACCTCAAAAAGGAAGATGGCAGGGGGCTTTGATGTAAATAAAGATTGTGCTTCCTCCTGAATCCCTGTAAGCTGGCTTCTGAGGGACTGTGTGAACATTTGTCAATACATAAGCCTGCTGTCTTTAACATGCCTCCACTGTGGCCCAGTGTGCACATATGTTTGCCAGTGTCTCACACATGCCACAGATGTGTGTGTGGGTGGCTTTTTATGTGTTCAAAATGAATTGTTGGATGGAAGAATGGAAAGAAATCAAGTTTTGAGGTAGAGTGCAGCTCACAGTCCATTTGTCTCGCAGCAGATGAAAATTGTTCAATCAAAGCTTTCAGGAGAACAAAAAAAAAAAAAAAGGAGCAACATTTTCCACTGCAGCGTGTCTTAACAGGTTATGCTCTGCTGAACACAATCCTGATCTTAAGAATTAGCTGCGAGTTCCACTGACCGTGTTTCCTAAGGGACCTGCTTTTTCGCCTAACTCCACTGGGCATGTGGCGCCTTAAACTCAATCAGCCGGTCAGGACACATAAAATATTGAGATCTTAAAAGCGAATATGTTTCTTAAAATGCTCCAAGTCGAGTTATATTTAATCAGTGACACACATTTTTCAGAAAAGTAGTGAGAAGGGTGTTGTTGAAGGGGCTGTAAGTTCATCCAAGTCAGTAATGAAACATGTTAAAGGCATAAAGGGAATAATGGGACTAGATTTTAAGAGGTAACCTCTGCTCCCCCTGCTGTTAGTCTCCCAAATAGTGAAGAGATGTATTCTTTAAAGGGACAGTTCCTCCAAAAATCAAAAATACATATTTTATATCATACCTGAAGTTCTGTTTATCAGTCCAGATTGTTTTGGTGTGAGGTACAGAGTCTTGGAGATATTGGCCATAGAGATGTCTGCCTTCTTTCTCATATCATGAAACTAGATGGCACTCAGCTTGTGGTGCTCAAAGTGGCAAAAAAACCCATACTTTTGAAAAACTCAACAGCAGTGTGTCTTCCAAGAAATCATGACCTTGTTATTTGAGATAATCCACAGACCTTGTTGTGAGCAGTTTCATATACAAACTATTTTCTTTTCTTTTTTTCCATACTACACCCAACGACCTTGGATACACCCATGCAGAAAGAAGGGTGCATCTACTGTTAGCTCACCTAATGTTACAGAGTAGATGCACGCTTCCTTCTGCGCAGTGATACGATTGGCAGGTGTAGTTCAACAGAAAGAAAATAGTTCCTACATGAAACTGCTCACAACAAGGTCTGTGGATCATCCTGAGTACCCAGGTCATGATCTCTGGAAAGAGACATTGCTGTTTTCAATGTATGTTTTTGGCAGTTTAAGAAGGGATGCACACGATTAGTCGGCTAGTCATTAAAAGGTTGCTACCCTAGCTAGTAATCACCACAAACTCCAGTTGGTTAAAATTTCATTTAAAATTCATTTCCCAAAGATTTATTTTCCTAAGGAATAATGTTTACAATAACTTTCATTCACTGAGTTGTTACATGCTTTGTAGGATAATGTGCAGTGTTCATAATGTACAGTACAAACAGCCACACATTTCAGTGTTACTTAAAATACAATCTGATTACTGAATGATGTGATTAATGACTTTAAATGGCTCTTGTAATACATATAGTACATATTAGGGGTGGGCGATATGGCCCTCAAATAATATGATATTTCAGGATGTTTTTGTGATAACGGTATACTTGATGATATGACAAATCAGCCGTGCTGCTGCCAGAGGAGCCGCTGAATGAGTTCCCTTTGAGCGGTACGTCGCTAAAAGAGTCTGAGAGGTGCAGGGCTGTTCATAAAACATTCAGGATGCCACAGTTTATTCCACACTACTGAAGCTGCTCCTCTTTTTGGAACCACCGCGGCGTCTGTAATAATTTCCCTTTCAGCCATGCTTGTTGTTGCCATGGGTAACAGTATGACATTATATGTCAACATGTCCAAATATCGCGAGTAACAGGATATGAGTTTTCATATATTAAAAATTATATTGGTATTATTGCGAATGAGATGATATGGCACATCCCTCTTACATACACGTAATCTTTTCTCAGACCTTGTTTGACCTTGTCGATTAAATTGTACTCAATTTGGACTGTTTCCTGATTATCTGACTTTAAGACTAGTCGACTAGTCTAAGTTTTAGCTTCCATTTAAGCATCAGGGAAATTAGTCATTAGGAATACCCCTAGCTTTGAGCACCACAAGTCAAGGGCCATTTAGTTCCATTATATTAGAAAGAGGGCAGACATCTCTACGGCCGATATCTCTAACTCTGTAACGCACACCAAAACAATCTAGATTGATAAATGGCACGACAGGTAAAAGGAAAAGTATCTACTTTTGATTTTGTGGTGAACTGTCCCTTTAACAAAGCTGCAACCCCTTTCACACAGAGCTGATGGACACCAGGGCAGCGCGACCCTTCAGTTTCTCCTTCAACACCAGCGACTACCGCATCCTCCTGATGGATCAGGACCAGGGCCGCCTGTACCTGGGCAGCCGGGAGTACCTGGTGGCTCTGGACATGCACAACGTCAACAAGGAGCCTCTCATAGTGCGTATCAACTCTGACTAAATCTATCTGCTATTTGGCATCTGCCATCAAGTCATTAAATGTAATGATCATGTTTGTTGTTTTTTTGAAAATACAGATCCACTGGCCAGCGTCTGCTAAGAGAAAGGGAGAATGTCAGATGACAGGAAAGGGAAGACAGGTGGGATCATGTTTTTACATCCTGCTCTTTCAAAAACCTAGAGCTTTCAAGATGTCACAATGACGATGATGATGATGATGATGATGATGATGATGATGATGATGATGTTTGAATTCCATTTGTCTTACTCCTCTTTGTCCAGGGTGAATGTGCCAACTTTGTGCGTCTGATAGAGCCGTGGAACCGCACCCACCTCTACACCTGTGGAACGGGGGCGTACCAGCCTATCTGCACATTCATCAACAGAGGCTGGAGGGCAGAGGTGAGCACAGAGACATTTACAGTTTCCCCCCAGAGTGGGATTTACAGCAAAAATCCCTCAGCTGTAGGCCTGGAAAGCGTTGTCCTGCTAAATATTTCAGGACTACAAACTGGGACACTGATTTGTTTGTGATTTTCCTCTGCTCCCATGTGACGTTTTAGCGGCCTATTTTTATGCACACTCTCTCTGTCTAATCTGCTTCTGCAGGACTACCTGTTTAGGCTGGTCCCTGGGTATGTGGATTCAGGGAAGGGAAAATGTTCCTATGATCCCAAACAGGAGAGCATTGCGGTTCTGATCAGTAAGATGTGCTTCATTTATAGGAAAGACACAAAATCTTATCGGATTCCCGAGCTGAGTCTGACCTTGCTATTCTCTCGTCTCCTCTGCAGATGGTAACCTGTATGCAGGGGTCCATATCGACTTCATGAGTACAGATGCTGCTCTGTTTAGAACCATGGGAGGGAGAACAGCAATCAGGACAGAGCAGTATGACTCCAGGTGGCTCAACGGTGAGTAAGTGTGGGTGTGAGGAGGTAAATGTTGCTGATTATAGGTTATGGTTCCCCTCGTTTTATTTGACAACCACTTGCCTCAATCCCTCTCTGTGCTGATCTGGTTTTATCCCCTAGAGCCCGTGTTTGTTCAGATCCAGCAGATCCCTGACAGTGCAGAAAGAAACGACGACAAGCTTTACTTCTTTTTCCGCGAGAAGAGTCTAGACTCAAGCGGTGGGGCGAGCCCCAGCGTCTTAGCCAGGGTGGGAAGAGTGTGTCTGGTGAGCCAAACCGCATTCTATACGTGGTGAAAGTATATGAAGCTTACCTTGTAATATGAAACGCACTGTGCTTATTGAGCTGTGACCTAATTCTCTTCCTGTCTAGAATGATGAAGGAGGCCAGAAGTCCCTGGTGAACCGCTGGACGACGTTCCTGAAGGCTCGCCTTATCTGTTCAGTGATAGGAGATGATGGAGTGGAAACACGATTTGATGAACTACGTGAGGCCACAATAAAATAATCACTGCGTTTAAACTGATGGCACTTTATTGCAACCGCTTTTAATGTGGTGTTATTGATTTCTTATCCTCTTCCAGGGGATGTGTTTATCCAGCCCACACAGGATGAACGAAACCCTACCGTGTATGCTCTCTTCACTACAGCAGGGTGAGTTGTTTTTGGAGGCTTGTTGATAAACACTAGGCAGCTCATTCACTCTTCATACATATACCCATGGAAAGTAGAGCACCACATTTAATATATAACCCACATAATCAGGAGAGCTGTGATCAAATAACCAGTGCACTGATGAAGGGAAGAAGGAGGTGGTATAAAGAGTGATGGACTGTAAGGAGGCAGGTTGAGGTGGTGGATGTGTCAATCAAAACAGGACTTTCCCCCAGGACACTGGTGTTCAGACACATGTGAAACCAAGTGCTTTGAGTTGTTTTTTGGCATGTCACCATTAGGGATGGGTCACGATTTTCGAATTTCGAATAGTCATTTTATTTTTGAAAAATTGATTTTTTAATGCGACTATTACTAATGCCGTCTTATTTCCCCCTTTTATTTGACATGCAATTCAGCTCCTAACCGCACAAGGGCAGTATAGGATTGCTACAGCGGTGTGAGATGGGCTACCAGCTAGTTTGATGCTCTTCTACAAACAGGAGAAACATGCAGAGACTACTACTCCGCGAGAAATGTCCGCAGTCATTCAGGCTTTCATAGTCGAGCGCACTTCCGCGTTGTAGTTTCCTGTAAAAATGTCTGTGAAAAACCCCCACGATGTGAAAAATACATGCCGAGCAGTCACTGGTGCGCGGAGCTTTGCGTGCACAGGGATTGCGGACGTCCGCTTTGAGTCCGCGCGGACCTCCGTGGAGTCCGTTCCGCGTACGTTCCGCCCGAGTATGTTTGGGCATTTAATGATGAATGGATCTCTGTGTGCGTGGCTCCGGGGGTGGGGTGAGTATTTGAAAAATTGTCGAATAGTTGCCACGATTTTCGAATAGTGTTTTTGCTTGTGCTGCCCATCCCTAGTCACCATGTCTCTTTTCCTCAACCAGCCTACGTAACTTCATTTGCCTAAACCTAACCTACGTAACTTTACTTGCCTAACTCTAACCTACGTAACTTTACTTGCCTAACCCTAACCTACGTAACTTTACTTGCCTAACCCTAACCTACGTAACTTTACTTGCCTAACCCTAACCTATGTAACTTTACTTGCCTAAACCTAACCTATGTAACTTTACTTGCCTAACCCTAACCTATGTAACTTTACTTGCCTAACCCTAACCCTTGCCTAAACCTAAACTATGTAATTTACTCACCTAAAGCTAACCAACGTACCTTAACTTCCCTAAATTAACTTAACTTGCCTAAACCTAAACTATGTATCTTCACTTGCCTTAACCTAAAGACACCTAACCATGTTACTTTTCCTAAACCTAACCTACATAACTTTACTTGCCAAAACCTTACCTATGTAATGAGGTGCCTAAACCTAAAGATGAGGGCTGTCCTGAATATCAGTTTTTGGGCATTAAAGCCTCAGTGAGACATATCCACAATTAATCAACGCCTAGGGGGAATGAGGGTAGAGGAGGACATAAATCAGACTAAAACACAATTAGCCACTTTGTTAGCATGTTGGCAGGTTACAAGAATACTTTGCAAGACGGCTAAGATGTTACCTACAGTTCTCAAGTAATTTGCCAAGCCTGTTGTACTTTAATTTGCCATTACTGGCACACAGCTTTTTGGGGGTCATCTTCACAAAGTTTGAAACTTTTCCATTTTCTTAGTTTATGGGCTATTTGCAAGCTTTGAGGCTTTGAAGCATTCATGTCAGCCCTACTAAAGACATCCAACCATGTTTTTTTCTAAACCATACCTATGTAACTTTACTTGCATAAACCTAACCTACGTAACTTTACATTAAGTATGCAGTGTCATTTGTAGAGTGCTAATTTGTTACTTGGTTCATAGGAACCATTGTGTGTACATTTCAGAAGATTTCATATGAACTATGTACTAGGAGAATACGTTTCTAATTCACACCTCACCCAACTTCACAGAACATGTTCTTTTTTTTCTCCACACATTTTTGTGGCCAATTCATGCTTTAATTTCAGGTATAGGGTGCGAGCTGTCTCCTACCTCTCCCTCTTACCTTAATTGTCTGTTTCTGCTCAAGCTCTGTGTTCAAAGGCTCAGCGGTCTGCGTGTACTCCATGGCTGATATCCGCAATGTCTTCAATGGACCATTTGCCCACAAACATGGCCATAATTACCAATGGACAGAGTATACTGGCAAGATTCCCTACCCACGGCCTGGGACAGTATGTTTCAGTCATGTTATCTCTAATCAAATAAACCACAAACATCTAAAAAGACACTTAACAAATTATTTTTCCACCTCTTCTCTTTCCCATCCAGTGTCCAGGAGGAACCTTCACTCCTGGTATCCGTTCCTCCAAGAACTTTTCAGATGAGGCTGTGAATTTCATCCGAGCCCATCCCCTCATGATCCATCCAGTTTATCCAATCCACCGCCGCCCCCTGGTGGTGAGAACTGGGGTGGACTACCGCTTCACTGCCCTGGTAGTGGATCAGGTGGATGCTGTGGATGGACGCTATGAGGTGCTCTTCCTGGGGACAGGTGAGACAGTTGCAGGGCTGATGGCACTTTGTGGCCGGAAGATTAGTTTGGAAAGCAAATGTTAAAATAATTGTTCTCATTTCCAGATCGAGGCACCGTCCAAAAAGTTATAGTGTTGCCGAAGGACCCAACTAGCATGGAGGAACTGACACTAGAGGAAGTGGAGGTTTTCCGGGTATGTCTAAATATGTGGTCCTGAAGAGACAAAATACTGTAATCTCAAAGACTAAGAGGTGTTGCTGATTTATCTTTTTGCTGTTTATGAATTTACAGTCCAGAGCTCCAGTCAAAACTATGAAGATATCCTCCAAAAGAGTGAGTCTGACATGGTGATACATCTCTCAGCGCATGAATTCAACCACCCAGCCACACTGAGATCAATTTATTTTTCTTGTGTCACCACAGCAACAGCTGTACGTGTCATCAGACGCGGGGCTGACCCAGGTGTCACTGCACCGCTGCGGCGTGTACGGCCGGGCCTGCTCTGATTGCTGTCTGGCTCGAGACCCCTACTGTGCCTGGGATGGAGAGAGCTGCTCTGCCTTCACCCCATCCACCAAGAGGTCAGGGGCGCCTCATATAATACAGCACACTGTCTCTGGAATATAAAGTGATGTTGACTTAATTCTGAATTCTGGTCTGTGTCTCAGGAGGAGCAGAAGACAGGATGTTAAACACGGCGACCCACTGAGGCAGTGCAGGGGCTTCAATGCCAAAGGTGTGGCAGCCTTTTTGTGTGTTTTAAGATCATATACACTTCAAATTTTTGTTTGTTTTGAGCAGTTGTCACCATTTCTTCTCTCTTTGTCTCTGCAGTGGAGAAACGTCTGAGAGAAACGGTGCAGTTTGGGGTGGAGGGGAGCAGTACATTCCTGGAGTGTCAGCCTCGCTCTCCCCAGGCTACTGTCAAGTGGCTGTTCCAGAGGGAAGGAAAGAGGAAAGTGGTGAGGAAGAACAGTTAGTTTTAGGAAATGTTAAAGGTATATTGTGCAGGAATTATCGGTTATTGTTTGTAAACACAACATTAAAGCTTGGCCCCTCCACCCTACATCTCTTGCACGTACACTGCAAGCTACTGTTGTGGGAGCAAAAATAGAAGGGGTGATACTTCAGCAAGCTCACTAAGCTAACCGCCGGCACCCACCTGTCCAACAGAAAACAGGCCACCTCTGCTTTGTTCTTCATCTTCGCTTTCAGTGCTCGCCAGCAAAAGTGAAAGCCAACCTCAGATTCACTCTCATTTTGGAACGAGCTTCATCCACTTCCTGTTTCGCCACACTATATTTGCAGTTTTTTGGTGCTGCATCCATGGCGTTTTAGCTCCCTCTTGATGTGTGCCGCCATTACTTGATCACTACCTTTATTTTTTCTTTAAAAAAGTTCTGACCTCACCTGTGGGCTGTTTTGGCTGGGGGCTACACAGAAGAAAATAAGACAGTGTGTCTGCAGATAAATACACTACCACATATTTAGGTTGTGGCCCCGATCACACACAAGGTGTTTTGCAGCTTGCAAATGTGAGGTGCACCGTACTTCCTTTTTTTTTTAAATGAATGCCACTATTAAAAAAGAACAAAATGCTTGCTGCACCTTTTTATTGTTGCCAGCCTCCTTACCCTAACCTTCCTGTGTAATCAATCGACCACTCTTTTTTTTTTCACAGTAATTAGTATCTAGTCTCTAAAATGTTGAGGCAGAGGGTACTTGCTGTAGCTCTGGTTGAGGGTGAGAAACTGTCAGCAAATAGGTTGTTGGTCACAGATAAACAGAGATCTGTGTGGGTACATGAGACCCTAAAAAAAGAGGGTGGATTGTGGGGAGTACAGCAAGTTGGTCCAGGAGCTTCGCCTCCATGATGGCCGTTTTCATGCATATTTTAGGATGACTCAGGGGCAGTTTCACAACCTGCTGTCTATCATCAGGCCGGATAGTTCTGGGTATTCTGCAACTGCTCCACCAGTTTCTCTTCCGTTGTTTACCAACTGTAAATGTGTTGTCATGACCACCACAGAAGGCCCGCCTCTTAAATCATCTGATTGGACAATGGGGAAAATGTGACAATATGACAAAAAAAGAGATGATGTGGGGCAATTGCCGCTCTGAGTTGGAAGTTTTATTCAACTTCAGGAATTCAGAGTGTGTCGGCAAAAACGCCAGGCACCTAGAGTGCAAAAATGGTGCCTCACAATGCAAAAAAACCCAAGCAACTCAATTCTCTTTATAAAAAAAAAAAAAAAAACAAAAAAAAAAACAAAAAGCCACCACCAGCTGCCAAAACACTTTCAGTGTGATCAGGGCCTAAGAGGGATTACTTTTGTGGGAGCCCAGACATTGTATATTTTTAGGAAACTCCTGCATAGTATATCTTTAAAGGGATTGTTTGACCTCATTTGTAACCTGTATACAAACTCAGATATGTTGTTCCCTCTCTCAGACTCCTGCGGTTTCATTCCCTTCTCTGCAGCTCAACCGTGTGGCAGGTGTTCTGAAGACCAACCATGGCATCCTCCTGAAGTCCCTCAACCAGTCAGACGCGGGGCTCTACCACTGCCTCGCCACTGAGAACAACTTTAAACACACAGTGGCCCGCGTGGCACTGCGCATCCTGGATCGAGACATCGTTTTAGCTCTCACCGCTCAGGATGAGGATGAAGAGCCAAAAACTCGCCAAGCGGGACCTTACCCGGAGTCGTCCCTTGTCTCCACGCCCTTCCCGCCCGAGATTAGACTGATTAACCAGTACTGCCAGTCCTACTGGGAACAACTCAGCCCCAAACAACAGCAGCAGCACAAACGCACCAGCCGCAGGCACACAGAGGGCCAGGACCAAGGCCTCGGTTAGAGGACGGGACTGACGCTGTCCAACACTGGTCTGTGTGGACTTTTATGGTGGACTTTTATGTTTGACATGCATGTTTGTGTGTCGCCTCCAGTCATTAGGCAGGTGATGCTGTCATGCTGTCGTCAAAGTACTGTATTTGTGGTTTTGCAAGTGTCAGTCTAAAGAATGCAAATTGTGTATATTTTACATTACCTGTGACATTTTCCCAAAGAATACTGTACAGTTTTAGGATTTTCTGTCTTTCAGGGATCAGCTTGTGTTAAAGGACCAGCAGCTAGTCTTTAAGGGGGCAGAAATGGAACAAAAGTATGTTTTCAATAGTGTATTATCACCTGAATCTAAGAACTGTTGTGTTTTTGTTACCTTACAATGAGTCCTTCATATCTACATCAGTAGCAGGTCCTTGTTCATGGAGCCTGTCATGTTGCACCGCCATGTTTCTACAGTAGCCAAGAAAGAACAGATCGAGATACGACTCTAGATAGGGCCTTTTGCGTTTTTATGTAACCTGAAGGCCTCTGTAGGTTCTCATACGTGCTTGGAAAGGGAGGGGTGAGCAGAGAAGTATTCAGTTGGTTGCAATCTGCAGTCTCACCACTAGATGTCACTAAATGATCCACACCGCTCTTTTAATTTGACATTTAAATCAATTTGCAGACTTGACACTCCCTCAAGATTCATCACCAATCACAGAGATTGTTTTAAAACTTCTTCTCCATGGTGTGTTCAGGTGCTTGTGGGAAACTCCGGCATCTGTTGCTCGAGAATCACTGTGGAAGATCAGCGTTTTAATCTGAGAACTAAAAAGAAATGTTCACAACTTCCATGTTTGTTCATCATGTGTCTCCTAGGTTTGATTTTCCAATTGGCAGCTGATTCATCAAATTTGTAATTGTCTTTAAAGGCACCAACAAAGAAGAGTTTTCTAAACAAGACTGCTCACTGTAATGGATTACATATTTCACACTTTTTGTGCACTCAAGATAATTAACTTGTTCCCACAAGATAATTAAGTTGTGTGCACAAAATAAAAACTATCACCGTTTGGGACTTCAGTGGCGCCATATAAATGGTAAACTGTGATGTAAAGTATATGCAGCATGTGGTTAACAGGCTCCAACATGCAAAACCACAGGTATGGTACTGTTAAGTATCTTGAAACAGAAATGTAATATATTGATTGTGAATATAATATATATGGTCATTGGATTACTCTTGTATTGTATGAAGATAATATGATGATATAAATGCATAATGTTGCATGCATATCTGTTGTTTGTTGCAAGTTGTACATTTTACTTGGTGTGTACTGATGTTTGTAAGGTGTACTGTATTCTGTTAAGCTAATTCCATTGGATGTTGTCATATAATGACTCCCCTACTGTCCTGTGCTCTAGTGACCTACAGTATGTGAGTGTTGAAGATATGCATAGCATACAGTGTTCTTCCAGTTATGCACTTTGTCGGTGGTGGTATTCGAGGGGATTTTGGGATCTTTGCACAGATGTATGAGAAAATTAAACGGGAACTTAATGTTTTTTTTCTATGTACAGTATGTTATTATAAAAATGGGAATGGAACTGGCTCAGATTTAGTATTGATTGTTGCTGTTCTGTCGTATGCTGTATTTACAGATTTTTTTAAAACAGCTCTTTTTAGTGGAAGCATAAGGAACAAGATTTTTTTTTTCTTTTTTCCAGTCAGAGCCACATTCACCGTCATTGTGAGTGACACAGTGCTATGCTGTCATGCTGATGAATCCTACACTGGAAATGTTCGAACAAATATATAAACATTTCAGAATTCTCTTACACTTGTTTTCTTTCCCTTTCGAGTCCTTTATATTGAGTTATTTAGGATTTAATCATGTCAATACATATTCCAGTTTTATTATTAATTCTTGAACCTGAAATTCAACATGTACCAGTACTGCAATTCAGAAGTTTGACATCAAAATCACAGTTGAAGGAAGTTCAAAATCCACACAAGCAAGAACTTCAACATCAGTCGTCCCATTCATCGTCCTCATCGTCGTCATCTCCACCGTCATCTTCGCTTTCCTCTGAAAGAGAGGACAAATACAAAGATATGAGTCCTTTCGGTTCAACTCTTCTGTTACATAGGGTGTTATTAATGTTCTGATATTTACCGGAGGAATGGATGACTTTACTCCTCTTCTGCATGACCATCATAAGAGCACCAACGATGCCTTCACCTGACTCTGGTGGTGTAGGCGCAGCTACATCAGGGCTGTCTGTCACCTATAACAGGAGAGAATTTAAATATCAACATCTGCTACAAACGTCCAAACAAACCATAATCATGATGCACAGCAGCATGTCAGTCCAGACTTGTGTACTTGTATAGCATGTATAAAATGCTTTTCAGAAAAAGAAGTTTGCGTTACATTTCTGAGCTTCTTCCCCAGTCGGATCTGATCCAACAGAGCTCCTCTGCCGTCCCCGCCTCCAGACACAGGAGCAGGTGGTGGCGGTGGGCCTCCAGAAGCAGGAGGAGGAGGTGGGAAATTTGAAGACATTGGAGGTAGGGAAGGTGGAGGGGGTGGAGGAGGAGGAGGAGGAGGTGGAGGGGCCCCTCCGCTGGGTGTCGATGGGACTGGAGGAGGTGGGAAACCCATGGAGCGCTGTTGGTTAGATGGCGGCATGGGAGGAGGCAGGCTGTGGGAGGACATTGGGGGCCTTGAGGACGGCGGTGAGGAGAACTGAGAAGAGTGTGCTGGTGGAGGTGGCGGGGGAGGACCGCCTCTGCTCGTTGCAGGAGGTGGTGGTGGCAAGCCTCCACGTGAGGGAGGCGGGTGAGGGGGCGGGGTCCCTCGAGGTGACTGGCCTGGGATAGGAGGCAGGGGGCCAGAGCGGCCTCGTGGAGGTGGAGGGGTGGGAGCGTGGGAGCCCGGCACAGGAGGCAGAGGTCCTTGTCTGCCAGGTGGAGGTGGTGGAGGTACACTGGCTGTAATGCAATGGAACAAGATACGTGTAGCAATTCAGTCTGAACTTTAGAGAATCACATAGGGAGCAGTGAGATTAATAAAAAATGAATCAGTCTAACCTCTGTTCACCTCCCTCTTCACCGCCTCCATGCCTCCAGACTGCTCGATGACATTATAGATGAGCTGGGAGGTCTTTTCATCCTTCATCTCGTCTTCACCAATTCCAGCTTGGGAGAGCAGCTTCCACAGATCAGGGTCGAGGTTGTTGGGATCCCAGCCGACATGACTAACATGCCTGACAAGAAGGAAACAAAAGGAGACTCCTCATATTTCGGGTTTACTTGACCTTTTACTTCATTCTACTTGACTTAGACCTGTTGTTCTTGGTCGTGGACACTTTTTTGTGACATCTAGTGGTAGTAAGAGCAAAATACACTAATTCATGTAAAAACAAGATGGCAGCTGACTCTGCCAAGTCAGTCTGCAGCCGATCCTGACACAAAAGAGGACACGATCCAAAACCTGATCACTTTTAATGGTTGAAACTTGTTTATTTAATAAAATTAATAATGTCTGACACTGTTAATTAGTAAGTGCTCATTTGGAGACGTTGGGACTTTACTGTCGTCACAGTTAAGGACATTAGGCCATAATTATCATTGACAAAGTTTAGTTTTTTATTAATCTGGTCCTACTGACCCCAAACAACTAGGAGAAATTAAAAATGAACACCAAACAAAAGTTCAGGTCTCAGGAGGATGTTGTAAAACCACATCCTCTCATGCCTAAAATAGGGGCAAAACACTCACTTAAATCCACTGGGTGCCCCGATGTCTGCTTTGGAGATTTTGGGGCCCTTCTTCCCTTTCTTCTTATCCTTCTTTCCTTTGCTGATCAGGGCTGGGGAAGCAGCAGGTGAAGGCATCGAGCGGTACCGCGAAGAATGGATATCTGGGTTTTGGATGTCCACTGTGGCCATGTGAAAAGAGCCAGGGCTGCCAGGTGATGCGGCTGGAGGAGATACAATGCACAGGCAGGATGGCATGTTATTATTATTTCATTTCATGCATCACTGGTGGTAGAAAGAGTAACAGCAGAGACGTGTTGTGCACCTTTCTCAGGAGGACGGGGCAGGGAACCTCTATCTGTAGTGACAGGAAACAGGAAAGAAATAGTTTTACTCATTGTTTGCTACATATGTAAATGCAATCATGCAGTCATGAAGTTCATTGATATCTTACCACTGGGCGGCGGGGGGCGCTGTTTCCTTTCTGTCATTGAGAAGGAAGTGAGAGAAACCATTTTGAGACACATGCCACACCACAACACAACACACTCACATACAGTATATGTATATATATATATATATATATATATATATAGTCAGCTAAAATAGCATACATAGACATTTTTATCTATGTGAAATACCCTTAAAAATAATATTCTACTGTTTGAATAAGAAAGTAAGAAATTATTTGTATTTTCTATATTATTTATATATCTATATTATTTAAAGAGTAACCTGAAAATTTACTACAGTTTCTGTTTAATGGAAGTCAGATTTTGGCAAAAAATAAATAAATAAATAAATAAATAAATAAATAAATAAATAAGAAAAAGAATAAAAATAAATAAATGAAATAAAATAAAATAAAATAAAATAAAATTAATGAATAAAAAATATAAATAGATAAATATGAATAAATAAAATAAAGTTTTTTAAGTTGATTATAATTATTTTTTCAGGGTCAAATTGCAAATAAAATATAAGCCCCCCTCAAAAAATTAAAATAAATAAATAAATAAAATAAAAAAAATAAGTGAATAAATAAAAAAATGTAAATAGATAAATATAAATAAATAAAATAAAGTTTTTTTAAGTTGATTGTCATTATTTTTTTCAGGGTCATATTGCAAACAGAATATTAGCCCAATAGCATATTGTAGTTGCAAATTTACCTCTAAATTAATTGTATTTATTTTGTGCAAAAAAAAAAAAAAAAACACATCACAGTGATATGACCTATGACCCCACTGACCTGAACGGGTGTGTCTCTGACTGATTTTATCCTCAACAACATTTTGGAAATCGTCTGCTTCCTGTTGTAGAGCAAAGTTCAGCCCGACCTGACAGTCCTGTGTCGGTTAAGAAATAAACAAGTAATCACATTGAACGTGTTTCAACAGTTGACTTCCTGCTGATATTTGTAACGGAAATAATGGCAGTGCTACACATCAACAGCTCGACAGTGACTGAAGCGGGAGGAAGAAGGTCAAATGAGGGTGTGCTTACATCCGCTGCAAAGGTATGAAAGTACGGCTGTGGCGAGGAGTAAACAATCTGGTTGTAGAGCTCCTGCTCCCAAATCTGCCTCCCTGCCTGTAGAAGAGACACATGGTAAATATTTCTGCACAGCAACAATAATAACTCACGTAAGATATGAGTTATCATGTGCCATAGTTCAGTAGGGGAGACTGGGGATAGTTGTAACAAAGGGGTGGTTGTAGCAGCAACACTTTAATCAAGAAGCCATGAACAGATTGTCATGTGATCAGTTTCATATATGGCTGATGCCTTATATGACCTTGGATGTGATAGTAAGTGCAAATTTTACAGCTAAAACACAGATTTTCAGACATGAAAGTAATCTTTTTGCACCATGCACCCCCACTGTTGAAGTAAGAATTAAGTAATTAGATTAAGGACAAGTCTATTAAAGGTAAAATACAGGGTATTTCATCTGCTAATCTCAAACCACCATGCTGCTACAGCTAGTTTAACTGTGATAGTCAGGGGTTAGGATGGTTGTAACACCCTTTAAAGTGTTACAACTAACCCCCAGTGTCACATACTGTATGCATATACAAATTCAGTATGTAAATAAACACATGCAGTGCTCTAGAAGTAAGTTCATGTAACGTTTTAAAAGTAGCAGCACCACTGTCAAGGCCAAATACAACACTGTGGGCAATGGATTACATATGGCACACAGTGCAACTGTCATTGCTAATTTCAGACTACCGCAGCTGTCATTTTCATGGCCAGCACCCATGTTGTGTATGTAGCCAGTGTACTTGCACCCATGGGCACCTAGGTCTTAAATGGGGCAGGGGTAGGTGCAATGGTTAGCATTGTTGCCTCACAGCAAGAGGGTTTCTGGTTTAAACCCATGGTAGGGGCTTTGTACCCGTGTTGGGGGAGCTTTCTGTGCGGAGTTTGCATGTTCTCCCTGTGTCAGTGTGGGTTTTTCCAGGTACTCCAGCTTCCTCCCACAGTCCAAAGACATGCAGGTTAATTGGTGACTCTAAATTGGCCGTAGGTGTGAATGTGAGTGTGAATGGTTGCCCTGTGATAGTCTGGTGACCTGTCCGAGGTGTACCACGCCTGTTGTAGACCTAAAGAAATTCCTCCATTCTCCAGTTGTAAAAATATGAAGCCTATATCCAATTAAAAAAAGTCTTTTAGCATTTCAACAACGAAACTGTGTGTAATACATCTATTGCCTGGCACCTTTACCTTGAAATTTTGCCGAACCTCAATAGCAGTGGCCATTCTCAAGTCTCCCTAGCGGGTTAGCTATAGATGCCAAATCCAAAAAAGTATAAGTCTCAGAATAAAGTCAAGAATTTAGTAGAGCGTGGACAGATTTGTTTGCTTTCACTGCCAGCTCTGCAAAGTTAAAGTACCACATAATCATAAATAGTGCTCTGCCCCTGTTAATGAATTTAGACTATTAGTCTGATTTAGATTTAATAGGCTGTTTTACCTTCATTATAAGACTCAAATATGTTTTGCGGCTCCACACAGATTTTTTTGTTATTATTTTTGGTCAAAAATGGCTCCTTTGACAGTAAAGGTTGCCGACTTCTGTAAACGAGGTGTGGTCAGGCTCATTGTTAAGGCCTTGCTATGTTGAGGCAGCTGAAAGTGTTTGTGACACTGACCAACAAAAAACTGGTCTGAAGTCAGAATGGCACAGTATTTTCCTGCTGTTTCAAGGATGCATTAGTCAGACAGTAAGATGCGCCTACACAGAGTTACACTCTGCTTGTTAGACACACAGGGAAGCTGGGGGTGTGAATCAGAAGTTTCATCATGATAAATTAATTTATTGATCACTAAATCTGCCATCTTACGATTTCAGTTCAGTTCAGAGCTTGCAATCAAGACAACATCAGTAAATATCCTCTGTCTTTTTCTTGGCTGCTCACCATTATCTGCCTGGCTAGGCTGCAAGCACTGTGTGAATGTTTAGAAGGAGGTGTGCTTTGACAGAATGGTGACACAGACGTGCCATGGAAACTTCAACATAAAGGTGTATCTTAAAGATGACGATACGTACCTGTGTTTTCACTTAGCATTGATGATATTGGACCATTGATAACTGAATTGATATATCGCTCCAGATTGATGTATCGTCAGATTTAAAAGTCAGTGGTGAGTTCAGTTTGTTGTGGGGTGGTCTCAGTTTTTAATGCGTCACTCTTACTGTGTCAACTAACCTCTGGTTGTGTTACAACTTACCCAGGCAGTAAGGAAGCTTGAAACAGTAGAATTCCTTGTATTTGACAACAATTAATTAATTCTGTGATATAGTTGGAGAAGTTGAAACCATTGCTATTTGTAGTAGGCAAATAAGGCTACTTTGTATAAAAATCTGAGAGCTCAAACCATGTGGAAACCTCCAGGGCCGAGAAATGAAGCCAACATGGTGGTGCCAAAAACTGCAGTTCTTTGCAGTTCTTTTCTTTCATCAACTGTACATGAGTACATTTTTTTTTTTACAACTCACCTGTTTACCTTATTTAGTTAAGGCTTAAAGTTACAGATAATTAAGGGCAGGCAGCTTTGAGTGACAGGCTGACTGCCGGTAGTGTCCTTGGCTTCTCAGACAGACCCCTCCTTCGCTCCTCCACACTGCCAGCCCATCGCCTAAACATGGTCACTTTTGTCTCCCAAAAACCAAGATGGCATTGGCCAAAATGCTGAACTCAAGGTTTCAGAACAAGTCAACAAACCAGTGGGTGATGTCACAGTAGCTACGTCCAAAAAGTGTTACAACCACCCCTTGTCTCCCCTAACTTTACATCGTTGATCTAAGGAGGATCTAAATATTCTTGTGATTAGACTCTTGGTATAAATGGCACCATTGTCTGAGAGATTACCTTCAAATCATACATCCGTATGAAGTAGGAGCGCTGAGGATTGTCTTTGATGAAGCACACCACTCCGGTGTGCTGCAGGCTCCATGTGGAGGGACTATGAGGCAGAGCCATGAACAGCTGTGCTACTGCAGTGGCCATGGACTGAACACACACAGAGAGACAAACACACATTGAAAACAGTTAAGCACTGATAAGATGCTCAGAAGCATTTTGTTGCACTTCATGTAAATCAACAGTTTGTGATAATTCACTTCCTCGTCGGCTTTATTTGTTTAGATAAGAACTTAAAGTGCTGTAATGCTGTTAATTTGCCAGCACTGATGTGTATATATGTCACTAAAATGTGCAGCTGGTGGTGCTCTGTTGTTGACACACACAGTGTTTGGCTCGGTATCTTAAAGAAAGTAAGGAACAAAGCAACTTCTGCTCTACTGTAAGACTAAACTCAGTGATAGAGTCTAATTCTGACACCAGAGGAGGAAATGGTTCAGCCACCATTTCCTGTTAACAGCTACCTCTTTTTTGTGATGACCTAATGTCAGCAAGTAATTTTAAACAGCATTAGCATGAACGTACGGTAAATTCCTTCGAAGAAAATATCTCAAAATAGGACTAGAATTCAAATTGACATTAGTGTAAATAAGGTAACAAATAGCAGCTTAGAGTCAGAGTCAAACTATGATGAGGTTTGGTAGTAAAGCTGAATATTTAATTTAACAGTCCTCAGCTCAGGTTTGTGCTCATCAGCTGTACTCATTCAAATTCAGGATGTGATGTTTAACCACTAAAGGCAAAGGAGAGAAGTCTTGAGGGCTGAGACGATTTACATCACTATGCAGCAACTGGAACAACCTGTATTATCTTGGACACCTTCTGCTTTCACTTTTACAACAAACTCTGCCATAAGAAAGGACACAAGACAAGAGAAATACAGCAGGTTATTATCCCCCACAATGGACAATCCCCTCCCTGGTCAGTTCAGGACTTACAGCACACCTTCTGCCCAGCAGCTCCTCTAACTTCTCATTCTCCTGGAGGCTCAACAAAGAGCTCCGGGCGCTCTCTGTTTTAGCTTTAGATCCACGGCTCATTATCCTCTAATAATCTCCCAGTTTATCTTAACTTCATGTGTACAGCATTCGAAAAAGGCGTCCTGTCTCCCTGTCAGAATACTGAGCTCTACAGTCAAGGAAGTTTCTCTTCTCTGTTCTGCGCACACATCAACTGAAAGCAGGAAACGGACAACCGCACTTCTCTAACCCCCACTTTTCTTCTTTCTCTCAGACGCAGAGCACAAATGAATGTGTTACTTCCATTTTCAGAGGGAGGCAGTGCACTATGACTGCTCTTCTCTTGTGTGTGCTCATTTTACAACCACACAGATGACTTATTAGCCTGTGTAACTTTTTTTTTAACTTAGATTAAAAAAGCAACTCAGAGCTTTTGTACAAATGAAAGACATACTTTATTGACAGATAACAACATTAAAATTAATTTAAAATGTACAGGATGAATAACAAAGTCAGATTATCTTTCAGTTAAAAATTTAAAGACAAAAACCAACTCCATTTTAACTTAAAACCCATAAGTCATTATTCACCATACTGAACAGTTTCTGGGACTGCTAAAACAGACACAGCATTTTTAACACTGAATTTTTATTGGCCTTTGCCGAATATTGTAAAAAAAAATAGTGTGTTACATCATATGTTACTGTAACACTATATTCTATTCTTTGGTTTTCAATGAGGGATTTTTTCAGTAATACATAAAAACTTTAAAAATTGTACAAACCACCTCTCTGTGTCTGTCGATTTACACGCGAGCATCAGTAACTGTCTGTTTGACCTTCATAGATAGCAGCCGAACACCACAAACACTGTATCTGTTGGATTCTTTATACAAGATCACTTCAGGCTGAGGTTTGAAGGTGATCGTATTTACAACAGACATGCTGAGTGTCAGAAGAGATAAACACATATATTACATAAAGAACATTTCTTTAACGCCATGTAGAAGCTGTTGTATTTTGGTAGACTGAAATGGTTAGTGTGAAACTGCAGACCGGTCATTTTTAGCTGAATCTGTCAAGTTTGTGGAGACTAGGCCATGTCCACACGTAAACAGATATTTTTTTAATTTTGGCCCTGAGTTTTTAAAAATCTCTGTACACACTAGAATGCATAAGAGAGTATTTTGGCCTTGTGATGTGCAGTTTGTAAATTCAAGAGCGGCCTAAAAACATTGTTATGACGTATTTAAGAAGGAGAATAAAATGTCCAACACCATAAATTGGTCTCAGGCCTATTGACCTGTTAAATATTTCTTTTTGTCTAAAATGAAATCCCTGATTAAAAAGAATAAACATTGCATGTGGAGTGCCACAAGGCTCAGTTATGGGTCCTCTATTCTTGAGTCTCTGCCACAAGGGGTTATCATTCAAAACGACTCCAAATACTTGCCGGCTACCTCGCCATGATGGTAGTAAGGTGTACAGGCTAACGTTAGCTTTTTCAAAACACCAACTGGAGATCTCATCAACTTTAATTCTCGTTCAATTTAAGGACGGTGGAGCTAACTCAAAGATACGAGTACTGCTCTCAACATGAAAAAGTTTTCCTTCCAATCCTTTACAATCCAACATCTGCTGGTTTGACCAGCTCGATCAAAATCCTTTAGCTTTAGCAGACTTCAAACGGTGGACACTGAGGTGGAACAAAAATATTAGGTCTGTTTGTCCGAGAAGTGGCGCAGCAATACTAGGTTTAAGTGTAAAGCAGTCATTAGACCAAGCAGTGCTAACAAAACATTAGCAAACCGGTCGTTGGCCGTAGCTGTTGTTTCTAGCATGCTCATTACACAAAGCAACAACAGGAATGCATAATTTGAGAGCATTATGTTATTGAATGCTCTGTTTTACATGCCAACACATGGAACCGCAGTTTCAAAAAATCAGCACTTTAGAAAGCATTTTTAAAAATGACCTAAAACTCTGTTTGCTTGTGGACGAGAGGCCAAATCGTAAAAGAAAATATCCATTTACAAAATTATCTGTATACATGTAGACAGGGCCTTAGACAACACTACACCAGCAAGACCTGATGGTTGAATAAACTGAAATGCTTTTTTTTTTGTATTAATGAAAAAAAAAAAAAAAAAAAAAACTTCCTGGTAAACTGATTGTCTTATGACATATTTCTGTCCTGTAAAATCTGAAATGGTAGGGAAGTAGACTGGGAAGATTTTGGCAGTGACTGAGCTATTCCACAGAACTGTACACATCCATACTCTAAAATGGGATTTCCATTTGAGTCATGCTGTTCCCATTCATCCCTTTTCTGTCTTTACACGTGCCTTCGAACAACACCCTTACTGTGAGGCGTGACATAGGTTTTATTCAGTCAGAACACATTGCTTTGTATTCTCATGCATCCCCTCCGTTACTGGGCCTTTCACCGGCCCCATCACATGTCAAAATGCATTCTTTTTCTTTTTTTGGTTCAAGTGAAGGTTCTTCACATATCCTTCATCTTGTGCAGCCAAACTTTCCTGTTTGGCTTTGGTTGAGAACTCTGTAGATGAGGGGTAATTTATAATGACAGGGAGAGCTTTGGTTGGCATTTTTTTTTGTAGTATCTCTGTTCAGTCACGACGGCTAATGCCCGCCTCCACTTCTAGACTCCCCAGTCGTCCAGTCAATGATGATAAACGACAAACTCATGACCATGAAGATGAATCCCAGTGCAGCAAAGCATGCAGCCTGCAGCAAAGGAGGGAAAGAAAACATCTGTGTCAACAACACATTAAAAATACACTGATATTTAAATGACAAAGATAAATTCACTGCATCATTGATAGCTGAAGTTGTACCTGAATCTTGGGTCTTGACAGAAAAGGCTCCTCGTCATCAGGAACGATCCGGACGTAGAAGATTCCTGGTAGGATGAAGATGAGGCTGGGGGCAGATGTGGCTCCTAAAGATGGAGAAGAAGTTTATGTTACAAAGAATTTCACTGCTGGAATGATAGTCATTTTATAAAACTGGGCTGTCTGTGCTGTACTCTACTATACTCATTGTGTCCGTGGTGGCAGGCATAGGAAAATGCAGAAGTACAATCTGTAGGTTCAGCAACAGTTCAAGAGCCAAATAATGCAGTTAATTTGAGCCAGGCCCACAGGAACCCTGCTCAGTCTTGCTTCCAATTTTTCTCAGTGGCCACAGCAAAAAAAATCCCCTGTGGCTATAAGCATTTTCCCCATTGTCCACTATTGTAAAAGAGACAGCTGTCAAACTGTTGACAGGACACCTCGAACTGCAAACAAGGTCAATTATGACTCTTTCTATTCTGAATTTCTGATCCATGAAGGTTTTGTTTTGTTAAACTTTCCTTGACATGAAAAAAATTGTTTTAAAAATGTGTGACATCATCACCATGAAAAGTTGCTGAAGAAACACCACTGTGCATATTCAGTGGGCCACATATTTGGGAAGTAAACCCAGAGGCTAGAAATGTTTTGTTGACGTATGTGCTAGGCAAGCAACACCACTGGAATGAATAGGCGCCATCTTGGGTTTCAGTGTCTAGTTATTTTTATACATCTATTGTTTGAGCTGGGAGATGAGCAGGGAGATCTGGGCACTGGTGAGATGAAGTTTACCACTGTTCACTTACACATACTACCCACATTGTTATACAAAGCTGGTTGAAAATCAGCAAAGTATTTATTTAAGGTTTCCATTCTTCCTGTGTGAACATACCGATGAGGCCAAAGATGTCACGAATGGAGGGCACAAAGATAACCAGGATGTTGACCACAAAGATGAGACAAAATGCAATTGTGATGTGTATGGCCCAGTTGAACGGCTTCTCAGGGAACAGGATCTGGAGCACTGCTCTGCGGATCTACAGAGGGAAGGAGGGAAAGAGGGGAAATGTCATGTTTTCTTTACAAATAAAAAGAGCATTAGGATTGACAAACCAAGCTATTAAAAGTAGAAGCTGATCTTAGTTTATCACCACAGGTAACATTATCATTATAGAACTGCTAATGAGGTTCTCTCTGGGCACTCCGGCTTCCTCCCACAGTCCAAAGACATGCAGGTTGGGGATAGGTTAATTGGTGACTCCAAATTGTCCGTAGGTGGGAATGTGAGCGCAAATGGTTGTCTGTCTCTATGTGTCAGCCTGCGATAGTCTGGCGACCTGTCCAGGGTGTAACCTGCCTCTCGCCCGATGTCAGCTGGGATAGGCTCCAGGCCCCCCCCCCCCCGCGACCCTCAAAAGGATGAAGCGGTTAGAAGATGGATGGATGGATGGAACTGCTGTTGAGAAGTAGTTGTGCAAGACAAGCTTCTATATGCGTCACGTTAACCCCATCCCAAACAGGTATTGCAGGTATTTTCTGTCACCTGTTTAAAGCAAAATATCTGCGTTAATATGGAGAGAGGTGAGATTCTAGAATTCTAGATATCTGCTTATTTGCTGTCTTGTTGAGAGTTAGATGAGAAGATGGATACCACTCTCTTATCAGTTCAATGTGAAACTTGAGCTGGTTAGCTTAGCGTAGCATAAAGACTGGAAACAGCTAGCCTGGGTCTGTGTAAAGCGTGCCAGCGCCTCTAAAGCTCACCACAGTCAACCAGTGGAGACTCCCAGTAAATAACCCCCTTGTATCCTATCCTACTGGCAGCACCAGTTATGTTGTGTGGAGGCAACATCAGGAATACTTTGGATAGGATAGAAGGATAAAAATTGTCCAACATCATACATTTGTCTCAGGGCTATTGACCTATTCAGACTTTTTTTGTCTTTAAGTGAAATCCCTCATGAAAAAGAATAAGCATTGCATGTGGAGTGCCACAGGGCTCAATCATGGGTCCACTACTCTTTAAGTCTCCACAGGGGGTCATTATTCATAATGCTGAAACAGATCTTCCACAATGATGCAGTACTAATTGAACTTCACACATATATGTATGGTTATCTCATTTAAAGGTCTGCTATGCAGGATTGTTGGCTACAGTTAGTAAACATGCTTGTCAGTGAAAATAAAAACCAACCCCAGATTCACTCTTGTTTGGTGTTTGGCCTCACTATAATGCAATTTTTCGGTGCTGTGTCTCTTAGACACCTGCTGTTTATGGTCTGTCACCTGGCCACTACCTTTTTATAAGCCCCAACCTCAC